CATAGACCCCAAACAGCTTGAAAATGATTCGTTTAGACCAATATTAGTCAAACATCGATTTCTTGGTACGCCCTACCTGCACCCCAAGAGCAAACTGCTTCATCAATGAATTTTTTGTCGGCATGACATTGCTATTTGTTCGGCCACACTCCTCTCCAGTAAACCGGGCCACAGAGCCCAGCCACAGAGTTCAGGGGCACGGCCAGTGAGTGTGGCCAGCTTTCTTTTTCTAAGATAGAACCCCAACAGTAAACTGTTTGGGGAATTAATTACAAAAAACTTCCCCGGAAACGGGGATTGACCCGACAAAAAGAACCATCACCTGGCTGGATCAGCCTGGCACCCGAACCCAAACCTCCGACCTCATCTCCCAATCGTCGGCGGCGTGTGTACGTTGCTTTCGTCTCGCGTCCGGGAGGACGGTCCCAGCGCTTTCGTCGACCACCCACGGTGTGTGGGTCGAAGCCCAGACACGACCTGTGGACTGTCATGCCGCCCCAGACAGACCCCTCTGGCACCACCCCTGGTCGGTAGTCCTATGCCAGTCCCGAGTGTCCCATGGAGTGTCTGGGTTCGTTCACACCGATCGGTGGAGCACCAAGAGGTGCTAGAGATGAGGCCGTTCATGTTCGGAGACCCCGAAACCTGAACGAAGCGGGCCCTGGTCGGCCAGGTTCTTTGGGCCCTTTCTTTCGGAGACAGCGGGCTGATTCGCACGGTTTCGCGGTCCAACAGTCCACGCACGACCAAGAGTCAACTGCGAACGATGGACCTTTTGACAACGATGATGACATCATAAAGATGGAGTTGGGATAGAACTCACAGCAGTTTCTACCAGGGGATACCAGGAGACCCTTTCCAAGATCGTAGCTTTGACATCCACCTTCTACACCAAATCTATCAGGTAGGTTTCATCACCCGGACACTCCATGTATGCCAGAGGTGTCACTCTTTGATGGACTGATTCTAACCTCTCAAGATTCCACGCCAAAACCTGCCATCTGCGCCTCGATGTAAAGACAGGGCTCCTCTTCAGGACGATTTGGAGACCAACTGACCAACAGTTCTATTGGGCAGCATACATAAAGGTAGTGACTGGTGCACATCGTCCCTGCCAGGACATGTGATAGAGGCTGTATTCGAGTGAGGCTGCAGTGACTAATTCGTGTGAATGGGACAGCCCGAGTCAATGCTGAAATCGGTGTGCCAGGCTCCAAATCATCCAGTCAACGACTAGTGCGTTTCTTGCGTTTAATAGACGCCCAACGGAAGAGAGAGACCACACACACACCGCCTGGGGAAATATAAAACTGTCTGTCGCTGAGAAGTTGTGGGGTCTATTGGCCAAGGAACTATGGCTTGCAAGGAAAGAACTGCCTGCAAAGTATAGTCACGCCAAACTAGATAGAAAAGTAAAACCCCTCTGACTCTGATTATGCATTTGACATAATCGCGTCTATTCTACCATATATCATCACGATAGTATACCATATACCCTAGCCCTGGCCTACCAAAACCTTAAAAATGTAGGGTTTACTTGAAAGCCCGAGGCTTTCAATCAAAACCCGAGGTGTTCAAATTCGCTGAGGTAGCGGGTGGAAGCATAAGCTGTAGCCCAAACACTTTCGTTTCGAGGCTTGCACGTGTAAATCACAGGTTCGGCATGGGTTGGGCAGTTGGGCACGGGTTCAACCGAGGTTTGTCTATAGGCCCAAGGTTTGCACTTGAAAAATATGGATCGGTACGGGCAAATCACGGATTGGGCATGGGTTTGGCATGGGTTCCTCACCAAATCCTTTATTTTACAAACATTTGTTTACCAACAAATGCAATTAGCAAGGATTTCAATGGAAGTGGCAATGTGGAAGACATGGAGATTTGAGTTTTGAGGCTTTGCTATGCCTCCCAAGCACCTAAGGCATGTGCTTGGGACAGCGAACCAAGGAAAACCAGAGGTTTTGCCCAGGGTTTGAGGTGGTGGTGCCAGCGAAAACCCCAGGCTTCTTCCAAGACCCTACATGCTTCGTTGCGCGCTTGATCGCTCAGTGTACCCAACGGCACTTGTTCCACACCCATGAGTTCAACCAACAGCGCTCGCTCCTCCTTGATTTCAGCGGATGAGTCCGCCAACACGCCTGCCGCACGTTTTGCAGAAGGTGCGGGGCCAATGCGGAAACACGTCAGAGGTCTCATGAAAGGATTTTGGAGCTGAATTTCACTCATTGACGATGTCTATACCCTGGTGTTAGAACCCACACGGAACCTGAAAACCACCGGACTGTGTGGAAGCTCGTCATTTCCGCCCAAAGCCAGCCGACCGGAGGATCGGCCGTCATCCAGCCTTTCTCTTATGAACATGGAGAGGTGCACAAACCCACAGCTACTCCGTTGTGAGACTGCACCCGCAACAGAAAAATAGAAGAAAAGATCGATTGAAATATGGTAAACTTCTGTGTTTATGTCACCAAACATCTTGTAAACGGTCCTTTCACTTCGGTTTACACCATGGTTTACCTCCCACATACCCCGGTCGACTCGCCGTGCTACTCGGGTCGTGCTACTCTCGACGTCCTGCTCTGCCCGTTCTTCCCGGGCGCCTTTGGGCACGTAGAGGTAGACCGAGTCATCCTGGCAGACCGAGTGCTGGCAACGTCCGACAGACGGGGTGTCCACCGTCTCCATGGTGGACAGACACCGTTGGACTTGGGAGGAGCCGAAAACGGAAAGACCTGGGTTTCGCGTTGGCCACGGTCTTTTCGCGGAGAAAAAAAGGAAAAGGCACACTCGACTCAACAAACATCTTCCAAAAAAAGCCGGCGCACTTAGTAGTAACAGAAGCAATTCCTTGGCTTATCCAGCCGATGATAGTTACAGGCTACAGGGAGCATTCCGACTTGTCCCCATTCTCCGTAAACGATGTCGATGCTGCACCGTGATGCCAACCCGTCCGACTGCCGCGGTAAACGCCCCAAAACTCCCTGAAACCACGGCGTGGATGGCGCCGTCCGCCTCGTCAAGCCATTGCGCCAGGCCATTCAGCACACCCCGGCGCACGCTGTTCCGCTGGAAGCCTGGTGCGGTTTGGGTCGCGATCGAGAGGCCACCAGCGGTTGCTGTGGCCAAAAACACACCTGGTGGTCCTGCCGTTCTTTCTGTTTCGGAACTGTAGGTTCATCATGGTCCATCTGTTTGTATTCCATTCCAGGATTCCAGCCCTTGTGAGCAGAAACGCCTGTCTAAGTACCAAAAAGTGGAGAAAGAACTGGACAGTGACAGGCTCCCGTCCCGAAAACCGGTCGTGAAAAAGAACCCACGCCGTGTTTCCTGGTGTCACGGGGTCACGGAAGCTCAATGGTAGAGAGAGACCTTGAAACAAACACACTCACAGCAAGCGAGCTTCATGAGCTTCATGTTGATATTACATGAGCTTCAAGAAACTCCATGGACTTTCAGACCAGATCTGCCAAGCCCTGGGCGCTCTTGAGGGGGCGCCCCCTTGGCCCTCCGCCACTCGGTCATGACGCGCCTTGCAGTCCACCCGCCCCGTCTCCGGCCGTCGTGCGGAAGAAGACCTCGGGTCGAGTCGGAGCGTCCGTCGGTCGGTCCAACGGTCGGCCCGTGCGAAGCGTCTGGAGCAGCGACGGAGCAGCCACGAGCTCTGTCGAGTCGGAGAGGGCAAGGATGAGCCAAGGACACGGCGTGAAAGACTGGAAAGAAGGACACCCCATCGCTAGAGGATGAGCCAAGTGGCCACCCCATGGAATCGGTGGATCTGGCAAGCTGGATCGATACAATCGATACACTCTTTCATGAACGATCACATGGGACCTCTTCAAAGGTCCCACCCTGAGTCCGAAGAACTTCTCTGGCAAGAACTCCACCAATTCAAAAGAGGCCCATGTTGGTCTTAAGGCGAAGTATAATTTCGTCCAAACACCCGTGCTGCTTGAAAAACTCTACTCTTGTGACCACTCGATCTCAAAGAGATCATCTGCCACTGTAAGAACCGCCCACGCTCCAATGTCCTGGACATTTTTCCGACATCCGAGGAGCCTCCTGGACATCTCCAACCTGTTATGCGTGACAACCAGGCGTAATAAAACACACCGCGATTTTACTACGACATGTTGTTTGCCATGGTCTGATTGGTGGCATAGAGTCCATAGATCCTGGCAGACGTCGTGTGCGAAAACCTGAACACCTATACAAGTAGGACGGAAGATTACTCCACTATACTCCACTATCGTGAGAGAAAACTCCACCCGAAGAAACGGCGAAGTGGTATCTCCCGCAACGGCAACAACAACAACAAAAACACCCACAAAAAACGGGAGATGTCCAACTCTCCTGCCCACTTTTTGTTTTCTGTAGGATGGAGGCCATCGCTCTTAGGTTGGAGGCCATCGCTCCCGATCGGAACGAAGCCAGGCCCGCGACCGCCACGGCCCCTGCCATCGCCACACCACGCAGGCCTGGACGGGTTCGCTCCGCTCCGGAGCGGAGCGGAGGAGCTCGTCCGGGGGAAGGAGGTGGGGATCGAAACCATGAATCACAGCAGCTGATCACACTACACTTCCTTTCCTAGCCGTAACCCTAGCAGTAACCGTAACTAGTAGGGATACGAAGCTTGACCAAATGTCATGAATTCTCGAGATCATCCGCCGGATCTGCCCATCAAGCTTGGGGAAGATCAATTCGACCCATGGCGTAGACTGCCCATGAAGCTTGGTCTGCATGTCGATGTCAGCAGTCTGCATCGATCTGCAGGGTCGGTCAATGGCTCACCGAATTTCATGACCCAAACTCATTGAGAACGCCTGAGTCCCTTCTCATGTTACAAATTGAATGAAAGAGTGCATGGTCAACATGAATTGCAAGAATTAGAACACATGCTGCTCTGATGCTCCAAGCAGTACTTGTTCCAAATCTGCCCACATGTTCAGAAGGCAAGCAGTGAAACGTTTGAAGACTCAATTCCTTCATTCAAACGTTGCATTCAGTTATGGTCCGAAGAGCCGTGACGACACGGTCACGGGGTGCTTCGCTCGAGGATCTGCAATTGGGATCAAGCCAGCCCGCACCCCCTCACGAATGTAGCACGGAAAAGGATAGCCAAGGCAATGAAGGATCAAATCTCGAGCGTCCATGAAAAGGCAAAGGGCAATGACCCCCTTTTCAAAGGCCAGAAAGTTCAAAAAATACGAATCCACACTTGTTGCGTCTGACACAGGCACAGCCGGAGCCCGGTTCATGATGAAAGCCAAGACGGGTCCAAAAGTGAGCAAGTGGCACAAGCCTAAGGCGCGCGTAAAAGGGATATGTTCATCCAGCTTTCGAACGATGCACATTGCACCCATGCGCGCAGAGAAGATTGCCCAGGCAGCTTTGTAGCCAAGAAGGCCGAAGAGCAAGCCACCCACCCACTGAGGAAAGCACATGATAGGTGCCCACACAGCCACAAGGCGTGCTGTGACACTGCCTGCTTTGCCACACTTCTTAAGCATATCCCGATGATCCTTGACCACCACCACCTGGCTCTCCAAGATCCATCTTACAATCGAAAGCATCTCTGAAGAGCCTAAGCTGCTAAGAGCCTGTTGTGAGCCGATACACTGCGTGCTTGAGCCCGGCAAGTCAGTGAGCCCGGCAAGTCAGTGCTATCATGTATCTCTTAACCATTCTTAACCTATAGGCATCGTCCGGCATCGAACCCAAAAAACCACGGAGACCACGGAGGCTTCCGCGACATCGAACACGTCGAAAGAACCTCACACCACCCGTTCCGAAGGGCCGAAGGGCCGAATGGCCGACGGGTCGAAGGCGTCCGAAGATGCAGAATCAGCTCGGGAGCGTACCAAATTGCCGCAAGCCCTGGGTTGACCCAGTTCCCAAGCAGAAAACGGATGGGTTTCTGACCCATCGATGGCGCCAGCATGGCTTGCTTGAGATCCTTTAGAGAAGTGGCAAGTGGCTGGGATTGGGCATCCAACCACTGCTTCTGGTAGGGACTGGGTTTATAGGTCTATATCTTCCATACACCATGTCCCTCCCTTGGCACCTTCATCACCACTGGGTGCTCTTCAAAACCAACCGCCCAAACAAGACCTTCGGCTCTCCACGGTCTCTCCGGTCTCCCCGCATCCTCGACCCGGTCTCGCGGGCGGTACCTCCCGGCCGGGCCTTCGGCGCTCAAGACGCGCACGCGGAGGATCCCTCGAAAGGCATCCCGCACGAAGCTGGAGGACAGGAGCACCGCCTGCTTCGTGACGGTCGTTTGGAAGAGATTGGTTCCGGAGCGCCCTTGGGCCCTTGGGAATCTCTTTGGCTCCACAAACCCACGGGCCCATGGAATTGCCACTGTTGATGGACACATGGCCAAAAAAAACGCGAACCAGCATCAGCATCACTGCAGGCGCCGCTACGAGGTGATGCTGAACGATGTCTTCACGATCAACATCAGAGGATGGTCTCCGTCCCTCCACTCGTCCGGACGCCCGTCCGGCTCGTGAGCCACCGTTTCTGCTCACCGACGCGTCCAAAGCTGCAGTCATGTGCACCTCCTGGTGCGTTCCACTTCCTTGATTCCTTGATCCGATTTCGACACATCGAAGCCAAAGCTGAACCAGGCAAGAAAGGCTTCGCCTTTTCAACAGGCTCCCAGGCAGTCTAGTCTAGGAGACGCTTTTCGGAAGGTGATCTGCATGTTACTGATCGGTATACAGCTCTACTCTCCGTGTAGCTCAATTGAGACCTTCCAGGGAACGACTTCCTGGACATAGGAAAATAGACCACAACGAATTGGTGGGCCGTTTCCTTTTAAAAAATACAAGTCCATAATCCAACTGTGTCTTTGTGTCTTTCAGCAATGAATTGCTGCCTTCTAAAGTCACCGGAACGGAGATGGACATGGGGTCTGACACCACCACTCGACAAAAAGGTTTCCCCAGAACGGTCAAAGGCCGAAACACGTTGGACCTCTGGCCTCCAAATGGAAGACCCCAAATAGACGGTCCCCCCCAGTTGTTCCAAGCGCCCCTTGTTCCGCCCCGAGTTCAGCGGGCCCTTTCCGTCGTTCGGCCGTGGCTTTTCACGGCAGAAGGAGTCCGGTGGAAGCCCGGTTCGGTCAGGTCCAGTGAGTCCGAGGAATCCACATCGCTGTAGGGGATGCACGGCGGAGGTGGAGGTGGTGTTAGGTGTCATGGCTTAAGTGGGTCCAAAGTCATGAGTCATGCAGGCAAGCAAGCACCACTGCACCACTGGCACTCCTAGAGGTCTCCAAAAAAAGCCACACGAATCACCATCTCTCCCCGCTCCGGGCCATCCTCCATTTCTGGGTGCTGAACAAAAGCGTCCAAGGAGCCCCCGTGGATGGGAAGTCTCGTACAGCGAGACCGCGAAACAGCGGCCTGTACTCCCGTGATGCCCTTCTCTTCCTGATTGCCTGCACAAACCCAGACCTGAGCACGCTCTCGGTCGGCTTGTGACCTCAACAGTTTTTGGGACTAGACTTCTGCAGTGATGTGGGGTGGAACCACCGTACGGTATTATATAACCACCTTGCATGCGTTGCTTGCTCTAGATTCTGTCTCCCAACAAAATACTCTAGTTCAAAAGGAAGGGATACATCAATATACATACCCTAGAAGTCCAAAGACTATCTATCGGAGCACCAAAGTAAAGGAAATTCCTTTTCGGATCACCTAAAGACCAGATGTTCCTTTAGTCCTTGGACTTTCAGTGCATTGATCCGGTCTACCTACTCTTGCGCGGTCTGTTTTCTGTGGGTCCGGGATCGCTCCGCTCTCCGCTCAAGTGGGCGGATGTTCTCGGATGAGGCCTTCTCGGAAGTCAAGCGGGTCCGACGTGTCGGGGAAGGAGAACAAAACCCCACACGCACTGGCTGCACCAGTTCTCCGAGAACAGCTACAGCTTGATGGGCTGAAGCTCAAACCGCCAGACAGGAGGCCGGTCTCGGGTGGATATTGGTGTAGATCCACCAGTCCCAGGTTGACCTTTAGGACAAAGGCAAAGGGATCTTCCGAACCCAAAAGAACGCGTGGATCCGACGCGCGTACCACTTACGGTGCGAGCTGAGTTCCCCTACACCTGTGGCGCGGTCGATTAAGGTATAGGCGTCGAAGGAGAAGCCCGCCATGACCTTGGTACATGGGTGGATTGAAACAGGACCTCCCAGGCGTTCCGATGCCCTGGTTTGATGGTCGTCCGATACCGGTCGCGGACGGTCCGGTCACAAGAAAAAGAATCCTCAAGCTGATCAGAGTCGCATCAAACCTGGTCTTGACCCCATGTTGGATGATGTTTAGTGGATCACCCATGACATCCAGTCTTACCCGGTCTATCTCTTCCTTACACCCTTTCCCGACGGGACCTCGGCACCTTCTCTTCTCATCACCACGGATGTGTGTATGTGTGCTTCGTACCCAGTACACCCAGTACAAGAGACTGTCCTACAGTCCTACAGTCCACAGGTTGAGTGACCCGAACGTTCGACTATCCCAGTTCGGCCACCTGGTCCGGTGAGTAGAGTAGGGTCCTATGGTCCGGTCACTGAACCCACCTCTCTGTCCTACCCAAGATCTAGGACTTCGGCCATGCAGGTCTTGAGGTCAGGGACGTCCTGAGGACGACACGAACGTGGGTAGACGACACACACGAGAGGACCGTGCACATCACACGGTTTTGGTGGGTGGGAGTCAGATCGCGGAAACCCAGTCCCAACCAGAAACAGTTCTGGATGCTTCCCCAGTCCCAGTCACTGCCTATGTAAAGGATTTCAAGCAAGCCATGTTGGGTTCCAACCATTTGCTTCTGGTTGGGACTGGGTAAACCCAGGCTGTGCATGTGTTGGCAGGAATCGTCTTTGGATGTCTTTTGATTTCTATTCCACTTCGATGTTCTGACGAAGTGAAACACCATGAACTACCATGCCAACGGCCCCCCCCCTCACTGGCATCTGAGCTCATGCCAGGGCCACCTCCTTCTCCCAACCCTCACTGGTCTCCTGCCCTCCATCTGTACCATCAGCTTCCCAGTCGTTGTCGTCGTCACTGCTTCGGCACACCACACGACTTACGCCTCAAGTCGCCAACGGCACGCGACTGGTCAGAGGGGTCATTCAAGAGGCCGGCAAATGTCCAATACAGCTCAAATGCACAAGGATCCTGATCCAACGCTTTATCCCACAAGCCGGTCGTGAAGGAGGCTTTCGAAAGAAGCATTGCGCTGACAGTCACACCTTTCATCATCTTTCATCAGTGTCTTCAACATTTTCGGGTAGAAACAATGACTCGACAAATCACGTCTGGGATAGTTCCAAAAACCCAAACGTCTGGGCCATCCAAATCAGTGCTCAAAACCACCGCCCAGACCGCCCACCAATGAGCCGACCCGCGCTGTTACAGTGCGTCGTCGCCCACGCCTCTGCCAACACGCCTGGGGGGGGGCGCGCGATCCATGACGACACACTCGCGTGAGAGTGCATTGGGCATACCCAGACCATCCATGGGACTGGAAGAGTTGTCCTCAGGGTCATGGGTCGTTCATGGGGGTCCGGGTAAATGTATGTAACTCCCGTATGTAACGGATGGTCGATATCTCGATGATCCACAAGGTGATCCCGAATGTGATCCTGATTATCCATGGTTCTCCCCAGACCAATGTGTTTTTGTCTGAGTCATGAGGTATGCCTTTAGAATCTTCTGGAATATTGGGAAGGCTTAGTTGTGCTTGTTCAACTTCTTGAGACCTCAAAACAGGAGAAACCCACCAAATCCACTTACTCTAGGACCATGTGCAAAGCCCAATCTATTTGCCCAAGTCAAAGCAGAGGTCTACGTACCTCAACCCATTTGCAAACCGCTCGGTTCTCCTACGAAATGGCCACTTATGTTGCTGGCCAAAGCCACCTCGCCATCAAGTTCACTTAAGCTCACAGGGGGAAGAACCATGAAGAATCCAGAACATTCGGATTTTGATAGATGTTGATTTCTTTTAAAAACAATAAATAAGACGCCGCCTCCCCTCTCCTTTTTCCCCGGAGACCCGCCCCCCCCGGGCTGAACGGATTCAACGGCCGCTCCTTGGAGCTCCAGCTCCACGTCTCCGCGCGAGGCCGAGGCCGGAGACCTCGGAGACCAAACCGGGCGCCGTTGCGGCGCGTGGCGAACATGTGGTTGACCTGCTCCATGGCTTTGCTCTCTCTCTCTCTCTCTCTCTTTCTCTCTCTCTTTAAATATAGAATGCATGTATATATAATATATATAGTGATATATATATATTTATTGTTATATATATATATTCCCACGCCCACGCGCGCTCTCTCTCTCTCTCTCTCTCTCTCTGGCCGCTGGTCATTTTTCCAAGTATCACTGCCATATATCTATCCATCGGGGAAGGCATCAGCCGGCCCCACTGGAGAGATCACTCTGCAGACCCATACCGAAAGGGTGGTAAAGGCAGAGTCGGGTCCCATCCCCACACATAAAGCCCCACAGGAGCTAAAGGGGGGGAACGCGAAGAACGGTGTTCGGGGTGACAAGAAGCAAGGAACTGAATCTAAGCCCAAGGACACAGAGAAGCTACCGAGTGCTTAGGAATTTAGATTCACCTGGCCTGCCTGAAATCAAGCAATATCACTGCCATAACTCTAGGGGAAGGCATCAACCGGCCCCACTGGAGAGATCACTCTGCAGACCCTATGTGGAAAACTGAATCCCAGCGTGGTAACAAACAGCAGGCGCAGAGAATGGAAGTGGGCAACGGCACTATTTGCGGGTCACTGTCTTAGGGCACCCGGACTAATTACTATTATAGTCGTACTCAGGCCCGCTAAAGGCATTCAGCAAAACTCCCAGAGTGAGATCAGCCAGGCATTCTACTGGTGGCAACGCGACAGGAACAACATCCCAAGAGGCTTTTGCGGCTGCAAGTCCTTCTCGTGACATCGCATCAATGATGTTAGCTGCACTTTCAACGTGTTCAAAATAAACTCTCTTGTTTGGGTTTTGGCGTGCAAAAGGTGGATCATCGCACAAATGGCCGCGCAATTTTCATGGGGGAAGTAACCCTTAATAAGAGTAGAGAGAGCCCCTTGGTTATCCATAAAGTGCAACAAATCACATCCCAGCAACAGCGAGCCCAAGGCTCGTGGCACCAAGGCGACAGCCAGAGTTTCAGCCTGCATAATCTGAGTCTTTCTGGGCAAGCGCACGCGCAAGTAGGTGTCTGGTACACTCAAATAAGCACACTTTGGGGCTGGCCATTTGGGGGAAAAGGCTACGAAGGCCATTCCTGCAGGTTTCGGTGGTTCCCACACAGGACCAGAACGCCGTTGTCCAAGCAAGGGGTCAAGTT